CCGTGACATCATGACAAAAATATTTAAAAACCTGTACAAAAATTTCAGATACAAAATCACTTTTAGAAGGAAATTCACAAATGCAAGAAGCAAAATGAGCAAAATATCTCCAGGTCCTAGACATGCAATTAATGCCAACTCTCTTAAACCATGTCCATATTTCCACCTCGGAGTAGATATGAATCAATAATTATAATGCTGCATGAAGTAAGCGGCTACCAAGCAGAAAGCTATTTGGAAAAGCACAAGATAAGCAAATCGTTCAACTTAAAGAATTAAAAAATCTAACCCTAAATTTGGAAAAGCACTAGATAAGCAAATCGTTCAACTTAGAGAATTAAAATATCTAACCCTAAATTATTCTTGAAGGCAGGCCAAAGTTCATATTAAGAGCAAGATGATAAAGACACAGAGAGGATTTAGGACATGATTGATATTTTCTTAGAAACCAAAAGGTGCTGCCCCCCTCCTACCCCTCTTCCTACCACCAGATGATTAGCCCAGGTTTTTTCCCTTTTCCCTCGTGGGTCAGGGAAGGTAACGGAAATGTGTCACTCACCTGTTCAATGGCAGAGCGCATAGGAGCTGATGACTGTGGCAACAATGAAAGCAGTGTGTCAACAAGAACATCCATTAACTCAGGCGTTGCCTCATCATCTACCTCATCTTCTCCAGAGCAAGCAAGAAGATCAGAAGATGCCGTGAGGACTTTCTTACAACATATGGTCAGTTCAGACGCAGCTTCTGAATATTCCCCTGGCCGAAGGAGTACTTGGAGCAGCAACTGGATGAGTAAGTGCCTCAACGCGTGCAATTTATTTGCATCAGCACTCAGTCCACAATTCCTTTCCTGCCACGACAAAGACATTTACAAAACCAATAAATAAAAGCGGATGAAAATGTTTTGAAAGAAACAATATGATTGCTTCAAGGAGACTGGAAGCCAACAAACAAGTTTCCAAAATTACAACACTTACAGCTGCAAGACAGTCATATCCAGGGCAGTCCCCATAAACATCTTAATTTTTTATTATATGGTTTGGAAAATCATCCAAGGCAAATAAGATTAAGCTAAGACCTAATTTACCAATATTTAGTATGCAAAACACTGTTCTGGTATTTATTAAAAAAATGGTGACATGTATATCAAAATGAACAAATAGGAAGTTTAAAGATTCAGCATCTGGAAACCAAATAAAATGGCATAATATTAATAACATATTGTTGCAACAAATAATGTAAAACATTACCTCCCTGGAAAGCCTTGTTTCCATGTCTTGCAATTCTTTAAATGCCTTTTCATCCTCCTCACTCAAAGACCGAAAAAGAGAAACTGAAGGGATGTTGCGTAATGTGCTAAAGGAATCGCATGAAGTAC